ATAATAATAATAATAATAATAATAATAATAATAATAATAATAATAATGTATATACTCACACATTAGCTTAAATGATTTCTTATACTAAAACATGAAATGGGTGCCTTTAGATCAGAGAACAATGAGAACTCAGCTAGGAATGAAAAAGGATGAGATTAAGAAAAATTTCAAAATTAATGATTCTTGGTGATGTGCTCCAGAGAAATACACACCAAACCTTGAGTGTGCATGATCCACTCACTGAGCATTTTTCTGTTTAGCCCCTTGCTTAAATCTGTTACAGATCTCTTCATAATCATTTCTAACTCTGATTTTTTTTAAATCAATGGTTGTCAAACTTTGGTGGGGATAAATATCATGTGAGGTAGTTGTTAAAATTAAAGATGTCCAAATGTACAGATTAATTGAATCTGAATCCGGTAAACCAGAAAAAGAACACAGAGGTCAGTTTTAATATTTTTATTAACTGATTCAGATTTAGTTATGATTTGTTATCCCTGCTTAAATTTTTGGTAGCAAAATCCAAACTCATAGCTCTATGATATTGATACAGTTCTCCATGGTCTGGCTCTGATCACTATGTCTGATCGCTTTGATCAAACTTGCTAACTCCCTTACTACTCTGACATGTCCCCTGGCCTTCCCCAGCTTACAGGCAACTACGTAGCCCCTGCCATCTCATCAGACCTCTCTGTAGGAAACTATGTGAATGTGCTCTCCTCCTCAGGTATCAGCTTAATTATCCTTCCTAAACAGTGTGAATCCTGCCTGGGCTGGGGGCATAGAGAGGTGGAGCAATGCTGCTCCTCCAGAGGACTGGGGCTCGAGTCCCAGCACCTACAAAGCAGCTCACAACTGTAGTCCCAGTTGCAGAGCATCTGATACCCTATTCTAGCCTCCACAGACAATGAATGCATTTGGTGCACAGACATATACGTAGACAAAGCAGTTATACATATAAAAGTAAAATTTATTTATTTCTTAAATGTTATAGATGTTTGGGTTTGTGTGTCTGTGTGTGGGGGGGAGACAGGGAATCTTTGTGTTACAGCCATGACTGTCCTGGAACTCATTTTGTAGATGAAGCTGGCCTCAAATTTGCCTGCCTCTGTCTCTTGAGTGCTAGGCTTAAAGGCATTTGCAACCATGCACAACAAAAGTAAAATTTTTAATAATAATAATAATAATAATAATAATAATAATAATAATAATATAATAGAGATTCTTGGCTAGAAATAGTGGTGCACAGCAGTACACCCCTTTGCTCTCAGCACTCAAGAGGCAGGTGGATCCCCGTGAGTCTGAGCCCTGCCTGGTCAACCTAGCAAGTTCCAAGCCAGTCAAGCTATGTAGATAGACCCTATCTCAAAAGAATTAAATAAAAATTTAAAAATCTTCAGAATTCATTTCGGTTAATTCAGCATTAGCTGTGAAAATATAAAAAGCACAAGACTGAAGGACACTGAAAGAATTGGTAGGCTAAAAGTTAAAAGACAGAAACTGACAACTCAGAGAGACAGCAAAATACGTGCTCCTTTGTTGTATTCAATAAGTCATAACATTCTAAAAAAAAAAATCCATAGGAAAGGTAAAATGAAGCAGTGTTTTGGAATGTTTCACACTGTTTGGGGTTTAGGTTGGGATTCTGAGGTCTACGATGTAAGAACAAGAGTAGCCAATGAAGGGTCCAAATCCTGAGCCAGGCTGCCGCCCCCCACTCTTTCATTTTATGTAGTCCAGGCTGGCCTGGGGCATGCACTTCTCTTGCCTTAACCTCTGGGGTACTAAGATAGACACTGAGCCCAATTAACACTTTCAAATAACTTAAAACCCAGACATTTATTAAAGAGATGGCTCAGTGGTTAAGAGCACTGGCTGCTCTTCCAGGGGACCTGGATTCATGCCCAGCACCCACAGGGGGGCTCACAACCGTCTGTCACTCCAGTGCCAGGGGACCTGACGCCCTCTTCTGGCCCTGCATGCATGGACACACACGTATGTGTAGGCAAAGCACTCATACACATAATCGTTTTTTAAAATTAGGTTATGAGATAGAAGGAGCAGAAATTCTTACCGAGTTACTACAGTTTTCCAAACATCACATTTCTGTATGAATCCCTCTGAGTAGACTCCAAGTGTTTCCACTCTTCCTGAGGGAAGTCAAAGCAACATCACTAAACATCTCTGATTTCTGAAAAATCAAACACAATTATTGGCTGCGGAAATGAAGGACAAATTCCTTGATGGAGGGGAGATGAAAAAGAGCGCTCCATGAAGGATACTGCCAGGAAGCAGACTGAAGCCTGCTAACACAGGACAGACAGGAAAGAGTTAAGTGGTGAGGCATGAACGTCTTCCATTTTTTTCCGGCGGGTATCTTCTGCATATGAGACATATAGGTAAGTCTTGGAATGATTAAACTTCACACAATATCCCATTTCTTTTTATGGAGCAACAATACAAATACCCTGTAAAAATGTGTAAGTTGGGTTTCGTACAACAAATGTGCTTTCACTTCTCTGATTAGGAATAAGAAAAATAGTTGATTTTTTTTCTATAAAGTCTTTCTGTTGTTTGTTTTCGAGAGCTCCTCATATATATCAGGATGACCTTGACCTTGCTGTCGGACCAAGGATGACCTTGGCTTGAACTCCTCATCCTTGTGCACTGCTTTCCTTAGTGTTGGATACAGGCACGTGCTAGCAAACCTGGCTGCCAACAGCCTTGTCATAGAAAGAAACACGCTCCACACATAGAGCACTCTGACCTGAGGCACACTAAGAAAAAAGGGAAATCATTTGTACAGAAAACAGATGTTTCCCTCAGGAAGCTGGGATGAGTGGTTTCTTAAGACAGACAGACGGGTTTGTTCTGTTCACATACAGCGTTCTCTGCATGCTTCACTGTCTTTGCTATCCCTGGTGACTTACGAAGCAAAGCACTCCATTCTTTGTGAACACAGCTTAGTGACTATATTGTGTCTTTGGATGTAGTTGCTTCTAATAGAGGCCCAGGGCGAGAGGAAGTCTAGGTTCTCAGAGCCTCTTGCAAGCTCTTTGGGTCTCCAGCCGCCCCTGCTGGAGATTCACATTCCAGGTTCAGAGTCTTGTCTCATAAACTGAGATCTCCAAGCTGTGCAAATACACGGCCGTTACAATCTTATAAAAAAATAAGATTTGTACAATACTAAAGAATATTCATCATCATATCAGTTTATAAGTGAGGATTCTCTCTAGGGTGACAGGACTTAGGGAATCTATCTCTCTATCTACCTACCTACCTACCTACCTCCTACCTACCTATAAAGGAGCTTTATTAGAATAACTTCCAGACTGTGGTTCAGTTAACCCAAAGATGGCTGGGTATGAATGGAAAGTCCAAGAACCCAGCAGTTGCTCATCCCACGAGACTGCGCGGCTTCAGTCTAGCAGTTCTCGAACTGTGGGTCACGACCACAGGGGGTTGAACAACCCTTTTACAGGGGTCACCTAAGAACATCAGAGAACACAGATGCTTTACATTGATTCATAACAATAACAAAGTTGCAGTTATGAAGTACCAACAAAAATAAGTTAATGGTTATGGGTCACCACAGCAAAAACAAAAATAATAAAACTCTATTAAAGGGTCACAGCATTAGGAAGGTTGAAAACTACTGTCTTGGTGGCCTTCGGTATGTACAGTAAGAAGTAGGTTTTGATGCTAGTGAAGAAATGGACTTGCTAGCAAGGAGACAGCAAACAGGTAAAAGCAAAAACTTCCTTCTTCCATGTCCTCATAGGTTTCCAGCAGAAAGAGTGACCCAGATTAGACCTGGATTAAAGGTCTGTCTTCCTACCTCAAAGATCCGGATTACAAGTAAATCTTCCCACTTCAAATTAAGCAGAAATCCCTCACAGGTTTGACATCTAATTTTGGGTTTTAGTTAATTTCAGGATATAGCCAAGTGGTCAACCAAGAATAGCTATCACACAGAAAATTATATTACATCATAAGGACTTTCCACATCACCAGTAATTTCATCATTTTTATAAACTTCAGAATAGCATCATATAATAAGTAGATCTGGTTTTTTTATCTTTGAAAATTTCAGGTTATTAGAACTGTTTCTTACTTCTGAATTTCTTACTACTATTTATCACTCTTAAAATCTCCTTTTCCCACCTACACAATAGGAAGATGGAATTATCTACCCCAAGTATACACATTCAACTTCAGAACAGAACATTAAGCTTCCAAATGATCCAATTATCAAATTCATCATCCTGCTTCATCAGCCTCACATTCGGGGACTACTGGAAGAGCCCTGCTTTATAAACCTTAGGGTTAGAAAATGGCCAAGGACTGGGTACAGAGAGACAAGGAATGTGGAATGATCAGTATTGATAATTGGATCATTTGGAAGCTTAATGTTCTGTTCTGAAGTTGAATGTGTATACTAAGATGGATCAAATTGTAGGTCAAGAAACAAAACAGTAAATTTAAAAGGATTCAAGACACACAAAGAATTAAGAAACATCAGATCTATTAAAATATTTGAAAATGGAAAAAAAAAACACATCTTGAGTTAAAGGCAAAGGCAAGTTGACAAGGCAGAAAAAAAGAAATGACTGGTGTGTAATAACTTTTGAGCTGTGCATAGAATTATCATACTTTTTCTCATTTTAAAATTCTAATCAAAAGCAAAAAAATAAAAACCAAAACCAAAACAAACAAACAAACCAGAGCTGGGTGTGGTAGCCTGTAGTCTCTCAGCTCTTAGGAGGTAGAGACAAGAGGACCAACAGTTCAAAGTGATCCTCACCTGGGCTACTCAAGGCCCTGTCTAAAAACAACTCAAAATCTGCTCTGGCAGAGGATCCCAGTTTTGTTCTGAGCACCCACGTCTGTCAGCTCACAACCACCTGTGACTCCAGCTCCGGTGCTCTTCCTGGACTCCTGCATACACATGGAACAAATTCACTCAAATACTCATGAACACAAAATGTTATTTATTAAATAAGCAGAAAAAACTGAAAATCAAAGAGCTTATTCAGGAAGGTTGAGGCAAGAGTTTGACCTATATCCAGCAAGATGGTGTTGATAAATAGAAACATGTAAAAAGCTAAACTCCGGGCAGTAATGGCGCACTCTTTAATCCCAGCACTCAGGAGGCAGAGGCAGGTGGACCTGAGTTCGAGGCCAACCTGATCTACAGAGAGAGGTTCCAGACAGCCAGGGATACACAGAGAAACTCTTGTCTTAAAAAAACATAAAACAAAAGCTAAAATCAAATCCTCCAAAAGTTAAACATAAATAGTACAAGAATGCTCTTATTTTTAATTTCAAAGATTATGTCCTGACACAAAAAAGGTAGTTGAGGTATCAAATATCTACTGACCTCAGACTTCCCCTCAGAAGGTACAATGGTCATTCTTCCTCCTCTGTGTTGTACCCTGAGGAAAAGAAGGGGAAGTAAGATGCTATGTCATCCCTGCCATATACTCTGAATTAGAAACATGGTTTCTCCATCCCCAAAATCCATCCGACATGAAGCAAAGTCAGAAGGCTGGTACTGGAAATGGAGAAGGTCAAGCTGTCTCGGACATGAATTTCTTTCTAGACTTAAAGACAGAGACAGAGCCCTGCTGGGCCATGTCATGGGGCCAACTAGAGACAGAGCCCTGCCGGCCCTCGTCATTGGCCTAGTCTCTGAAGCATCTCTTCTACAAGCATTCCTCACTCTTAGAGGTGCTAACGCTATCCTCTCAAGATCTCATCTTAATACTAGGTCCAGAGCGTCTTCACGTGGCATCTCAGCTCTCTGGCTCCCTTCCTGTCAGTTTCCTTGGCTGTGAGATTAGGGAGCACTGGAAACCAGCAACAAAACTCTATTTCCCAGGTGCCACGGGGAGGTATAGTGGAACTGGATCTATCCTGACTGTGAAGAAATGGATGAGCTGCCACTGTGGTCAAAACAGAACTTAAGTCCTCAAACTCTGGAGATATTTGGGGAGAGACCCTAAGTCACAAGAAGTTCATGATTCTTTGGCAGATTCAGCCCCACCCCCACCCCCCCAAAAAATCCAACACTGGGGTAAGATCACAGGTACAAAAATACACTAATGACCACATAAAGCCACATGCCAAACAATTTCCACAGCCACAAGGCTAGCGTCAGGATTTACATGGTTAGGGCCACACTGCGCACTTACAGTTAAACAGGATGCAAGCACACACAGGAAACAAACATCCTGTCAGGGATGAGCCCTGTCACTTTATTACAGGGGTGCGCTTCTCTCTTTCCATGCTGCACATACAACCCCACAGTCACACACCCGCACACAGTCACCCACAGGCCTCGGAAACAAGCAGCGGCAGCTCTGCTCAGTGACACCGTCACACTCGTCTTCACTGGCAAGCCAGGTATGCACAGAGTACCCACGCGGTGCCGACACCACCGCAGTCACAAACAGCTCCCGTCAGATGAGCAACGATCACACACACCCTCGGATCACACACAACTCCTATTCCCACACAGCACGCCCAGCACAAACCAGGCTCGCAACAGGCTTCCAGAGCACAGGCTTGCGGCACCTAACGCCGCAGACACACCCTTCAGGCGTTCCCAACACTCCCACCTCCGCGGGGGCGCAGCGCGGGGTTCCGCCTCCAGCGCTCCACGCTCGAATTCAGGGCAACCAGCTCGCCAGGATGCCCTAACGAGCATCCCTCTCTCCGCACAAGTACCCTGAACTCTCGCGAGAGAAGGGAACCGACGCGGCGTTCTGGCCCCGGCGACTCTGGGAAATGTAGTCCAGCGTCAGGGAGGCAGCTGCCAAGAATGCTTCTATCATCTATCTATCATCTATGTATCTATGTATCTATCTATCATCTACCTATCTATCTATATCTATCTATCATCTATCTATCTATCTATCATCTATCTATCTATCATCTATCTATATCTATCATCTATCTATATCTATCATCTATCTATGTCTATCTATCTGTCTAATCTCTATCATCTAACTCTATCTATCTTCTACCTATCTATCTATTTATCTACTGTTTGTTTATTTATTTATTCTCTTTAAATGTTTGTGAGGTGATTTATACATGCAGTAATACGATTTCATGCCTCAGCCGTAGGGATTTGTTTGTGGCGGGTCACTATCTATTTCTGGAATAATTGACTAGTTGCCTGTGATGATTTGTGTTATATATATAAGCTTTTCTAGTACCTGTATTTCATAGTGACTCCATAGGCTCCATTAGCAAATGACTATGTGATCATGTTGACTGTGAAAAAAAATGTTGGTCAGGTTATTTCTTCCTAATACTAATTGGATGATAAAAAAAAAAATGCAAGTCATTTATCTGAAAAGTAATTTAGACTTGGCATTTTCTATTAGAGGTGTCTATATAATGGAAAAAAAGTCATCATTTTTCTAAAAAAATTATTTCTGACCTTTTCTGTAATAAGAATGAAGCTTAAGAAGATAATTATGATGTCTGAAGTCAATGAACCATTTGTTCTGTTAGACAGTTTTATAATACATATTACAGACACTTTAAATGCTCCAATCATTCCTACATAATCATGTATATGCCTTAAATATGTGCATATTTTATACATATACACATATTCATAAAAATATAGAAAATGATGTGGTGGTTTGAATGAGAACGGCCCCCACAGGCTCATATATTTGGTGCTAGTTCCCAGTTGGTGGGCTGTTTAGGAACACTTAGGAATTTGGGCCTCACCGGAGGAGGTGTGTCACTGGGAGTGGGCTTTGAGGTTGCAAAAGCTGAGGCCAGGCTCGGTCTCAAACTTGTGAGGCAAAGGTGAGTTCTCAGCTGCTGTTCTAGCACCATGCCTGCCTGCCTGATGCCATACTCCCCGCCAGGATGACCACAGACTCAGCCTCTGAAACTGAAAGCAAGCCCCAATTAAAAGTGATTTTTTTTTTCTACAGGAAGCAGAGGCAGATGAATTTCTGTGAGTTTGAGGTCAGCCTGGTCTAAAGAGTGAGTTCCAGGACAGTCAGGGCTACCCAGAGAAAGCCTGTCTCAAGAACAAACAAGCAGAGAACAAAAACATAGTAATTATTTTCCTATGTTGCCTTGGTCATGGTGTCTCCTCATAGCAACAGGAAAGTAACTAAGACAGATCTCTGCCTTCCTCTGGGAAGGAAGTGACATCAGGGATGAAGGCTAAAGGGAAGCATAGCTCTGCCTCTAATGTGTAAGTCCTTCACAAGCAGAAGAAATCCACACATCAGCTTGGAAATGAAAAATAAACAATGCAGACACATTCAAAGGGGCATTAAGGTAACTGTTTATAATGGCATTTTTTTCAATATCAACAAAATAAGAATTTGATACACAGGTGAATGCTGGAGAAGTAGGCCCTCATGCCAATAAAGGAATGGACCTGCCAGTGAGGCCAAGAGCAAGCAGGCAAACAGTGGGGATTCCTTCTTCCATGTCCTTTATACAGGCTTCTAGCAGAAGGTGTGGCCCATAGGTGGGTCTCCCAGCTTAAAGATCCAGATTAGAAGTGGATCTTCCCACTTTAAATGTTTGTGGGGTTTTTTTGTCTTTTTTTTTTTTCCAGAGCTGAGGACCGAACCCAGGGCCTTGTGCTTGCTAGGCAAGCGCTCTACCATTGAGCTAAATCCCCGACCCCCACTTTAAATGTTTTACTTAAGCAAAAATTCCTCACAAATGTGCCCATTTTGGAGTTTTTTTTTTTTTTATTAAATTCAAGATGTAGTCAAGATGACAACTAAAATAACCATCACAGATACTTATAAAACTAATAAAACAATGATTATACTTACAGAGAATATTTAAGGCTTGTCACAGTATAACATAATCATGTTTTGTTAATGAACAAACCCAAAATGAATGCTCCAAGCTTGCCAGAAATTGATTGATATTATTACAGATAATAATAAACTTTTTTCATATTTGTATTTTTTAGACAGGGTCTGTTATGTAGCTCAGGCTTTCCTAGTACTCACTCTGAAGATGAGGCTGGACTCAAACTCATAGAGATCTACCTGCCTCTGTAGTATCCCAAATGCTGTGACTAAAGGGGCATGCCTGGCCTTATTTGTATTTTTTAGGACTTATTTTTATTGTACGGGTATGTTTGTCTGTGATTCATGTGGTTGTGAGCATGAAGGTGCCTGCACTCACAGATCTCCAGGGAAATTAGGAATGTTAAACACCCAGGATTTTTCTTTCACCCAGGACATTGAACCACTTTTTCCAGAAGGCTGAGAATTGGAGGTCATCTGGGATATCTGTTGGGCCAGGACATCTCAAGCTCCTACAACCAGGACCTGAGGTGGCGAGTAATATAACGGTCCTTACATTACCTGCACAGCCAGGGGCTTCCCCTAACCTTCCCCAACCAGGACCGGAGGTGGCTAGCATCCACCATCATGCACTATCTGCATGAGGCCACAGCGGGTCCTTCCCCTGCCCTTAGGTTAGTGTGGGCGCCTATCTCTAGAGCCCATCTTCTTGGAAGAAATGATGTAACTCTCACCTCTATGTACACTAAAAAAGTTTTTTTTTTTCCCAAATTATATTGTGTTTAAGTTCGCCAACAATACAGCCCTTGGCATCAGACTTCCCAAAGTCTGATCTTGTTTTCATTCTCATCTCTTCAAGGATGGCTGCCTGCCTTGACCTGCAGAGACACCTTCATATGGGCAACTCTTGTGGGCCCGGTACCACAGGGCATCTGACCCTCTGGAACTGGAGCTGCGGATGGTTGTGAGCTGCCAGGAGGGTGGTCGGGAGTGAAGCCAGGTTCTCGGTAACAGCAGCGAAACCTCGTAACTACTGTGCCCTCTGTACTAGTCTGGGTTCTCAGAGCAATAGAGCTCATAGGATGAATCTCTACATATGTATAGGAAGGGGATTTATTAGCGTGGATTCGGGTTGTGGTCCAGTTAGTCCTCCAATGGCTGTCTGCCAACGGAAACCTCCGAGAATCGAGGAGTTGTTGCGTTTACCAGGCTGGATGTCTTATCTGGTCTGCAGCGTATTTCAGGATCCTGACGAAGGAGGCTTAAATACCAGTAAAGGAACAAATAGACTTGCTAGCAAGAGCTAGAGCAAGCAGGCAAAGAGAGAGGCTTCCTTCTACGTCATTTTAGAGGCGCCAGCAGGCAATGTGGTGCAGATTAAAAGTGGATTTTTCCCACCTCAAAAGATCCAGATTAACACTGGGTATTCCCACTGTGGGGCACGTCGAGGTTAAGTCTTTCACAGAGCCCGGCGAGTGAAGCCTCAGCGGCTCCTGCGACTCCACCAAAGGCCCTGATCCGCTGCACACAGCGCTGATCCACTGGGGGCTCCTACCTCACTAGTGAAGTTTCAAAATGGATCTGAGGCCAGGCCGGTGACTGCTTCCTCTGTCTTTACGGAAGTCTCCTGAGGTGACCCCACCCCCCATCTCCCACATTCCTTGGAGTCGAACCAACCTGATTGATTGTTCCTGGTGCATGAGGCTAGCATGGGAGGGTCTGATTGGCCCTTCAGTTATATATATATAAAGGCTGTTGGACAATAAAGTTTGAGTCTGGTCTCCGGAGTCTGATTCCCGGGATTCTTCCGTTGCTCTGAACCACTTCTGGTACCAAAGTAGGTATCCGTCAGGGTTCTCTAGAGAAACAGAAGTTACAGAATGAATCTCTTTATTTATGTGCGGTCAGGGGATTTTTAGAATGACTTGCAGTATGTGGTCCAGCTAATCCAACAATGGCTGGCTATGGATGGAAAGTCCAAGAATCTAGAAGTTGCTTAGTACACAATGTTAGGTGTCTCAACTAGTCTTCAGTATATGCTGAAATCCCCCCCCAAAAAAACTCTATGAATTGAAATCATGTGATACAGGACTGTCAACACACGACATAAGAAAATTCAAGGGGCTGGAGAGACGGCTCAGAGGTTAAGAGCACTGGCTGCTCTTCCAGAGGTCCTGAATTCAATTCCCAGCTGCCATATGGTGGCTGACAACCGTCTATAGTGAGATCTGATGCCCCCTTCTGGTGTGCAGGTGTATATGCAAACAGCCGTGACTCCAAGCAGCCGGCTTTGATATTTAAATCTCGGTGGAGAGATGGCTTTTAGCAGGCCTTTACTAATGACAGAGAAGAACTTGCAAGTCCATCTCCTTTTGTTTGTGACAGCAGGTGGGATAGCTTGTGAGGGTCACACCTCTTCCTCTAGCTCCTTGTGCAAATTAACCTATTGTTCTGAGATGTTTCTACTCTGGCTCAGAAACTCTACAATAAAAAGACAGGCCGACAGTTAAGGCAAGAGAAGGCTGGTGACAAGGAGAAGGCTAGAGACAGAGGAGAAGGCTGGAGACAGAGAGAAGGCTAGAGACAGAG